CTCGGGTGCTCCAAGTTCTCATCAATCTCACCACCAACGCGATCAAGTTCACTACCACCGAGGAGACCCGGACCATCAAAGTCGTACTATCAGCATCGAGAGAGCGACCGTCAGCCAGCGATCATCCCACCGTTAGCTACTTCCCCATGCGAGCGAAGAGGACCGACCAAACTTGCGGTCCGGACTGGGGCGATGGTGAAGAGATCTATCTGGAGTTTGCAGTGCGAGACACAGGCCGAGGTCTTACGCCGGAAGAAAAGAAGCTCCTCTTCCAACGTTTTTCCCAAGCGAGCCCTCGAACGCATGTTCAATACGGCGGCTCAGGTCTTGGTCTGTTCATCTCACGCGAATTGACTGAGCTGCAGGGTGGAGAGATTGGCGTTTCTTCCGAAGCAGGCAAAGGCAGTACTTTTGCTTTTTACGTCAAGTGTCGGAGAAGCAGCGAGCCACAAGAAGCTCTCGAAGTTCTTCCAACGCCATCCATGTCCAGGAAAGTTTCAAATGCAAAGGACAAGGGCAAGAGGGAATTGCCTGCGCCGTCCAAGATTGCGACTAAGATAAAAGACTTTGCGACGATACCTGCCAAAGATGGCGATGCGTCAAAACCGAAGCCAAAGAAGAGAGAACTCAAAGTTTTGATCGTAGAGGATAACCTTGGTATGTCATTGACGTTTCCCCTGTAGATATACTCCTAATAACACAATGCAGTAAATCAAAAAGTACTTCAGCGGCAGCTCCATAACCACGGCATCCAAACGACCGTCGCGAACCACGGCGGCGAAGCACTCGAAGCGCTCAAAGCGTCCACCTTTTGGGCCTCGCCCCAGCAATCCCCGCTAGAAGACATATCGGTGGTGCTAATGGACAAAGAAATGCCCGTCATGGACGGTCTACAATGTACCTCTCAAATCCGCTCACTCGAACAGCAAGGCAAGCTCAAGCGACACGTCCCCATCATCGCAGTCACAGCGAATGCACGCAGCGAACAAATCGCAACGTTGCTTGCAGCCGGCATGGACGACGTCGTCAGCAAGCCGTTTAGGATAGGCGAGTTAATCCCCAAAATCGAAGAGCTGGCAAGCAAATTCGGAAACAAGAAGATACCAGACGAAGCTACGCTCGCTGTGCCCGTCGGGCCGAGCGTGAAACCATATGGCGTATGAAAGAGATGGCGTTACGATTTCAGCAGTTTGGAGTCATGGACTGAGTCGTCGTTCTCCGACGCTATGGTTATGGGCGGTGGGCATGCATACCATGATGGCGTTAGGGAGTCGGAATTTGCATGGAAGCGGTATTACTAGCATGTGCTTTGGCATCGGTGTGTCTGTTGTTTTTGTTTACTTCATGCCGTTTTGGGTCCATTGGTAAACATGCATATGGAATATACCCCAGGGGAGGTTAGGCGTTTTGGTCAGTGGATGGTATATACGCATATGCACTAGGATAGTTTGTGCAATGGATAATGAAGACTAGATGTTGGAATGAGTGAGTGAGAGACGTGACCTTGGGAGTGTGAGTGATGGTTCTATCACCTTGACGCCGTCCGAGCGCGCAGATTAATCACATGTCTGTGCAGCTTCACGCCCCTTCCACATCGATAGACTGCGCCGTCTTGGCACACGCTGTTTGCTCTCACCTCATCGGGAGTGCCCGTGCTCTCACTCACCACAGCTTTCTACGACCCATCGCCTGAGCTCTACAAATTCTCTCACAGCTCCTCACTCCGCGCCTCATTATCTTCGTGTGCATTACGAGGCCAGAGCTCCTACTCTTGGGCGCGACTTCTATTCTCGAACGCGACTATCCCCGCCAAACAACGTCATGTCAACACCAAGCAGCGCGAAAAGGCGCCAGCCCGAGCGTTGCGCCAAGTCGCAGGCGGCGAGGCAACACATGAATGCCCAGAAGCCAAAGAACGGAATGCTTGGAGCTACCCCGAATAGCTACTACCTCGCTATGTAAGTGTGGCTCTGCTGTATCTGAGCCTGGCTAACGAAACGACAAGAGCTCAGCGGAACGCGGATAAGTCCGGGTTGTTGCGCCTGCCCCCCGAGATCCGACAAAGAATATGGACCTATGCGGTACACGTACAGCTTGTTATAGTAGGCTACGGCAAGTATCCCGAGGACGCGAGATACTACCCCAAACAGAGCATCCTCCGAGTTTGCAGACAAGTACATGCTGAAACATGTTTGCTGCCCTACTCCGGCAACACTTTCTCGCCAGACGACATGGGCTGTTTTAATGTATGGTTCAAGCGTCGGCTACCCGAACAACTGGCTGCTCTGCGAAGAATCGAGCTCTGGTGTCACGAGTACCCACAATCCCCTCTACGTTTGCTCTCTGGCTTGAAGCATGTCCTTGTGTACTGCATCTGCGATGGGCTGTGTCCTGTTGATCCAACACGCGTTAAAGCCATCAAAGAGAATTTGGCAGGCATCTGGGGGAACTCTGATCTGGAGATCCGAATCGCACACGGATGATACTACGCGGGGACAATCCACCATGTAAGCTTTACTACAAGTAGTAAGCTATTGCACTTACGAAGACCTTGCAGTACATCGCCGAGAGACATAGCTTACCGCTTGTCGTATTCCCGTTTCCAAAGAGAGCATATGTATACCGGACGAGCGAATGCAAACAGACTTCAAAGGCATGGCTGTAGTTATCCGGGAGTCGAAGGTCATCTCAGAGTCAGAATCGATGCTGAAGGTTGCGTGGTCCTTGTGTTGATCTTGCGCGTTTCGGTACCATACTCCAAGCGAACTAGACGGCATGGAATACATAGCGACTTTCTTATTTTGGCCATACTTCTACATCGGGATGCGTGATTGACGCGAGTATGATGTGAGCTTCAGAAGCTGTGCACAGCCCTTTAGCATTACGTCATTGTAGTACCATGGAACGGAGGGATGCGGCCAGAGTATGGGTTCCCTAAATACACGAAACTGTTACCGACCCAAAGTCGCTTCGTTCCCCATCTGCAGCTTCTTATTCCAACTTCTCATACATCAGAGCCTTCAGCGACATCGACGTTCTTCAAAATTTCGCGGTGACAGTTGAGAGGCCCCTGACGGTGCTAGTCGTCAAGCCCGTCAGAACCATACGAAGCGGAAGCACGAAAACAGCCAAGCCCAAAACCGAGACCCACGCTGCCGATATGACGATTCAGAACAAAAGGCTCGGCTATCTGCCACCCATTCGTCGCCTCTATGACGATATGGTAGATGTGACACCATTCGGCAAATACGAAGCCATGTAAGTAGAGCCGATAACGGGTTCAGCACAATACAGCCCTCTCAGTAAAGAACCAAATGCTAAACAATTCAGCACCGAGAAAAACATGCGGGTCTCACCTTTGCTCCTCCTACCTCGAGAGTTGCGCGATTATATCTGGGAATATGTCCTCGGAAGCTACCTCATCTTCAACACTCAACCCGAAAGGCCGCTCGCAATGGCCCATGACTCAGACCAATACATCAAACACCCTCTAACTATCCTGTGCGTCTGTCGTTCGACATATGCGGAAGCGCGCTTCATTCCCTTCGCCATCAACAACTTCTGGTACAGACCTACACACTCGCCGATGCCCAGCGATGTAAACGAGTGGTGGCGTAAGTTGATGCCTGCACAGTTCAACGCCATTCGTATCGTTTCAATGCATCTCGGAAGAGACATTACCGATACTGATATCCTGCAAGTGGAGGCTTTGGCGCCTTTGGTGGGATTGAGGAGGATTGTATTCAATGTCTATGCGGGCTACACGGGGAGTTGGAGAGACATCACTGATGAGAGGTTTCAGCTGATGAAGGATAAACTGGTTAAGAGGCTTGAGAAAGTGCTGTGCGCAGAGAGAGTGACGATCGTCTTCAAGGCATGATAAGGTATGTGGACGTAGTCGCCGCGGTGGAGTACGTTCACCAGGATTGATGAGGCTAAGATGTCATGTAGGCAATAAACTATTCCTTGCCTCTTTTCTTATCACCTTATAGATGAGTAGTGTTCAAACACACCCTGCATGTCCCCGGTGCCCTCCCCGCAAAGATCCCCTCCTCCAGGGTCAATTTTGACGGATTCAACAGTTTCTCCATCCCCGCACTTACCAAGATCGCTAGACTCTGACAGCTACAAAATGGGACGCGCCAGGGCGGCTTCCAGTGCATCCGGGGTCAAAGGGTCTGCTGTTCTCGTATCCATGTGGTCTAGTCAGCTAGCAGTGATCTTGCGGTCTACTTGCTACGACGCCGATAGCCGAGACCGCAGTCAAGTATACGATAGCCAAGACCGTTTGAGCAATCTTTGGCGAACATGCGGGCTTCTGCGACGCAGTTGCATTGTGTCGGTTGCATGTGATGTCGAATACGTAGCTCGGTGCCTCTTCCGTTCAACTTACACCTGCCTCTTTGGCACTTGAAGTGATGCACGTTGCCGTACCCAGGTAGGTGGGTACGATCGGATGACCCCGTACCTGTTCTATGGCACAACTCTTGGAAATCATCACCGCAACAGGCCAAGCTTTGCGTAGTAGAAGGTGCGGGCCGCATATGGCAGCGGCTACGGAAGGCAGTCCGGATCGCTGCCCACCAATAGGACGATCAGACGTATCTTAGCTTGGTGTGGCTGAACTCAATATCTCGCTGTACGAGAATGATTACTTCGATCTTAATACACACCTTCTGTGGCGGGCTAGTTTTGTAGATGTCTGCATGTTGGCTATGATGAACGGCGCAGTGATGTTTCGTGCATTCGCCTAATCGAGCAAGATTGAGGTCTGTAGGTTTCGCAATGCATGCCTTTTGGGAATATGGGGCCTGCTATGCAGTCGATCAGCATTCGAGTAGGTCCATGGAGTATGAAGTGGTGTATCTAGATGACTAGTCTTGAACGTGGTCGAAGTATAAGTAGGCTTCAATCCGCACAATAGCTTCTCATCACCACAACAAGCGACTTTTATCCAAGAAACTTCACTTCCTCCCATCGATCTCCAAACAACCACAAAGATGCACTTCAATTCTATCATTGCCGTCGGCGTCATGCTCTCAGGAGCTGTCGTCTCCGCCGCCGAATGCGGAGGCTACGGACTTTGCGGCGCCGTCCCCGCCTCGAGTCGCAACCAGCTCTACGCTGCTCGTCAACACGTCTGCGGTGACGGACTGTACAAGAACGATGGCTATTACCATGCTCCGGGTGGAGGCAGACTCTCATGGCCTGGAGGCTTTGATCAGCAGAGGTGCTGGGACGCGTTCGAGAACATTCTGAACCAGTGCCGTCCCGAGGGCGCAGGCCTTGGTAACCACTCTGGATCGTACAACTGGTATGGAAAGCTATACACGGTCAGAGGATGTAAGTCAAATATCTATCCTGGTTTGTATTATGTTGGGAAGCTCATTGCTAATGTGTTTCCTGCGATGTAGGCAGCAACAGTCCTTACAAGGAATAAAGGACGACACGCTCCCTCTTACTTCAGTACGCATCTGCTCAAATAGGGATGAACCAATGGATAAATTATCGAGGGGGGCGGGGAATGTATACGATGATTATGTACGCAAGAGGAGTTTTTCATGGAGGATTTTGACGGCAATGAAACCTTACTATCCGACAAATTGTAATGCACGTATAATCAATTTGACTCAGGCTGTAATTTGTGATACTTCTAATCAATTTGAAGTAATTAGACCTGGCTTAGATATTGAGTGGTACGAGCTTACAGTTAGTTGGTACCAGTACACGAGCGTTGTTCATATACGTATCGGCCTATAGTCAGGCAGTCTTAACCGATAGCCAAGATTTAACACCTCACATCTTTCAAAGAATACCAATGGATTACAGAGACATACTTTGCAACTTGCTTCTTTAGCAATTCTGCGGCTCACGACGTACCAGACGTGGCGTTAGTACTTTAGAATATTCGATTTCACTTAGTGTGTGATAGCCGGGAGGTTTACTTTGACGTATGCTTCAAGCTCGTATAGCAGAACCTTGGAACTATAGTCAAAAGCGACTACGTAGTCTCTATAGTGTACAGGTAATGTGCCGCTTTGTATGATCATGGAAAATTGACAGAATACCCTCATTTCCTAGTCCACCATACTCTAAGGACAAAGGATATAAGCCGATCCTCAAATCATCAACGTTGGAGATCCTGTTTTCCGAATTCGGCGCCCAAGGCTTGTTGGCCAGGCGACAAAGTCAACCTCCCGATAGCGGTGCTCATAGACAATCTTCACACCCGCAGATACCACTTCCTTCAGATAGCCTTTCAGAAACGTCTTCACGCCTTCGAACCGACGCTCAGCCTCTGGATGCTCCATGTTTAAGTAGATAGTGACCTCTTGCAGATCAGAGAAGGCTTTCAAGCCATCCAGCCTTCCTGCATCGAAGTTCCCGATCACTGGGTCAAATTTCCCCATTATAATCGTAATAGCGAAGGAGACATAGCGGATGCATTGCAATTGCTGACCCCAAAAAAAGGGTTTGCATATTTCCAGCGAGTTTTTGGTGAAGTACCAGTACTCGTTCGTGGTGAAGGGAAGTAGCGCTGTTTCACTATAGATTTGACGGCAGATTCCCTGGGGACTAAGGAATGGTCGATACTCAAAAGTTGCATTCGCGTGACTGCCGTTCTTGATGTAAATGACAGGCGCGAAGCTGGGTCCAGATCTCATATAGATATGTAGACCACTGTTGACGTAGGAGAAGATCTTGTTACGCACTTCGGCAGGAAGAAGGAGTAGGGGTGAGGAAACGCTGTTTCGGTGGGTACTTGAAGACATCAGTAAGTAGCGAGACTCCCCAATGCAATCGAACTTACGTGGCTATAACATCGGATGTACGTGGCGTAGCATCCAGCATACCGTTGTCGTAGAGACGTAGCTTGCCTCGGTAGATGGCTTCTGCTATCTTGATTTGGTCGACTTCAGGCATGCGCTCCAGCTTCGGTTCCATCATGAGCTTCGTATATATCTTCCGGAATCTTCGGATCTCGCCTTGCTTGGATAGCCGAAATGTGGTTGGGCAGATGCTCGCCATGGTTGATGTATTTACACGAGAGGTGTGACGCTTTGTAGAGCTTTGATAGATATGCGCCATTGCCGTGGGAGGCGGGCTAGGGTGTTATTATAAAGTAGTTGGGAATAACAAGCAGAAGTAGTGTTGGAGGATTCTTCTCTATCTCGTGGTGACGGCCAATACGCTAGTACTGTACCCAGGTGAGAGATTGTCTCTGCCTAGTCAGTGAGTGAGCGGATCTGTATGAGGCTAGCGCAATGGACCCTGGATCTCTCTTTGTCACCTTGTACCCTCTATCTTTCTTCTCATTTCCTATCGATCGATCGACTTGCTCCGACAAAGATGGCGAGACCAAAGCCAAGGACAGCCGACAACATGAATCAGGTACCGAAGCCGAAGAGAAAGATCAGACCGGACTGGGCAATGCTGTCAAAGTTCAAAGTCAACGAGATGTGAGTACCCGGTGCACCTATGAAAGGGAAACACTGAACATCCTGGAGCCTACATTGATACTAGATCTTTCCATCTGCTTGTTCTAGCACAGTGTAGTCTGCAGAGCTAACGAAATCAGATCTGAACGCAACTCTATCGAGTCTCCTCTCCTGCGACTTCCAGCTGAGCTACGAATTCAGATACATGAGTATGAAGGTTCCGGTGCATGCTTCCACGGAGTTGTACTAACGTCTCTTGCTAGATACGCTCTGGGCGGCGAGATTTACGAAATCTCTGATCGCGGTTACGCAGTCGGCAACGTCCCCCGCCTGCGTTTCGTCTGCCGTCAGATCTACAACGAAACCTCGACGCTCCCATTTTCACTCAACACCTTTTCCGCCTTGAATCCGTTTCGCCTATCATTATTCGCAAGGCCGCTATCGTCTTCTCAGCGCGACGCTATCAAGACAATCCGGTTCGAACAGATAGGAACCAATAAGACTTCTTACACGCTGTGGAAGAAAACGTACAGTCGCTCACACTTACACTGGGCCATGCTGAAGGGGTTGCAAACGGTGCTTATTCAAAGGATTTGCCGAACACGACACCTCACTGCAGGGCAGCAAGAAGTGGAGATGCGAGAGCTGAAAAGAGTGATGGGGTCCTGCAGAGCGGATGTCACTGTGCAAGAAAGCGGGTATTACTGTTATCGCATAGAGGATGGGCAGGAATGTGGCCCTCTCTCCGGATGTCGAATGCTAAGCTTGGCGAAAGGTGGCTGAAGTGCGAGTCGTACACATGCTGTTAAATCCTGACGACTAGACAGTTCCTACTGCAATGTACACTCCTGCCTTAAGATAATCTTTGTGGAAGGCAACACGCAATTTGACCAGCCCTGGTGACAGTCGCGCAAACACAAGATCGCGATGTGACATGAATTCGGAGCTGACTCGAGGTGACGACGAAAAGTCAGCGCATCTGAACCGCCTTGCCTGGTCGAGATGCCTCGGTCAGTCGATATTCACATGCGCGTATATATGAAACGTGGAACACTCGTCACATGTGCTAGTGAGGTATATAGCATGAATATTAAATCTTTGTAAAGTCGTAACCAACCAATAAAGAAGAAACGTGTAGAAACCACCTCAACTCCGCCGCGCCCGCCACCACTTGACGAAGTCGCGTCTCAGCGTCGTCTTTAGATGCTCGTTGAAGCCATAGGTGATGGCGTTCGCAAACCCAATGTACTGCGTTGAGCATTGCAGAATACTCAACGCATAGCTGGGATGGCCCGCAGCTTCTACCAAGCGGTTGAGAATACCAGGTAACCAGAGGATGATATACAAAATGGGGTATGCGTTGAGGAGCAACATCCTCTTGATTTCTCGCTCGACCTTCTTTGTGCTGGTGGCGCCCTGCTGATTACTTCCCGATTCGTGGGGTGCGCCCGACTCGTAAGCCCCGGACATTGGCGCGGGATGGTTGCTGATCATGCCGATGCTGCGCTTCTTATCTGAAGGCGCAGTCATTTCTGAGGGGAAGGCTGGTAACCATTAGCATTGGCACGTTGTAGATAGCCGAGATGCTCGTGCGCATCTGCATGGGGAAGGACATACCTGATGCGGACTGGAAGTAAGGGCTTTTGGGTGACATGGGAGGGGACAGTGTGGTGGCGCTTTTGCGGCTGTTTGTCTCTAGGTCGCTGGCTGTGAAGATAATGTCCTCTTTTCCGAGGTTGGTGTCGCTCATGCCATCGGAGTGTTTTACTTCGTAGGCGTACTCCACGTTGATCTCATGCAGCTCCGTCTGCGATTCGCTCCTCAGCTCGTGGGCGTCGTCTCGGCGGAATTCGCGGCGCTTGGCAGCGCTGGCTTGATTGTATGACCCTCCTTGGCTCATGGAGTGCAGTTGCGAAAAGTGCCGACGCATGTAGATCCAGATGTAGATGTAGATTCCAATGGTTCCGAAGATAATGCTGAACCTCCAGCCATGGCCCAGGGCATAGCGCAGGTCAGTTCGCGTGCCCGATATCCAGCACCAGTTTCCGCTGACTGGGCTCAACTCGTTCAGTCCTGCAGCTGTACTCGCTGTTCATTCAGGTCAGCCTTGCGTTGATGGATGTGCATCTATGAACTTACCTGTGATGGTAGGAATGACCCAGACGGAGCCGCAAATAAGTATCTTGCTCATGAGCGAGGCATTGGGCATGTACGTTTTACGGGTAATCGTAGTAAGCGTTATTATGGCGATGGCCAGGATAGAGAAGTCAGCGGCCTGAACAGACCACTGACCTACCCAGCCATTGAGATTACATGCCGCACCCGGTGCGATGGAACCTTCATTGGCAATTGCATAGATCCCGGATATCGAATTGTTCAGCGAATTGATGAATTCTGGTATGCGTGGTCAGTCTGGAGATCTCATCTGGTCATCAAGAGCTCTTACCAGCCAAAGCAAGGTTCAGTACAAGTGCGTGACGGAAAGACCGTTGCGAATCAGCGTACACAACGTACGATACGAGAACGCATCCTGTGGCAACGAAAGACAGCAGACTGCCCACAAGCGTCGGGATAGCAATGGTGAGATTGAAAGGCATGCTGAGCGGTTGCTGGGATGCAAGGCTGACCAGCGGGACGGCGCGACTATATGTCTGGGTTTCACGATGAGGCCGGCGAACGTACTTGGCTTGAGGTAACTATAGCACATAAAGCTATAGTACATAGGAGACGTACCACGCGCCAGGAACGCTCCAAACCCTAGGCCGATTCCTGCAGCCCAAGCATTGCTGCTAATCGACACACGGGCGCGTGACTACGGTTGATCTCTTTAGCCAGGTATTCAAAGGGCTGTTCTGAGCTAGGAATTGGTGCCTGTAGCAGTTGTGGTTCAAGGTTTATGGCTGGGGCATGGTCTGAGTCCCGCCTCCCGCGATTTTGGCCTGCGACTCCAGGACGAGTCGCTTGTAGGCGTTTTCAGCTCCGAAAAGCTCTAGAATATACA